GGCTCCAGAAAATAGTGGAGAAGAGCTCGAAATACACGATGTCAAGGCTAAGGCATCTAAACGTCCACGATTGCAAGTTTTTTTCACTTATATGCACGCATATATTGACTGATATCGCATATTAGCCATAGAAAGGATAATCGCAAGGAAAAGTAAGTTTCTTTAATACTTGAGACATTGATTCTGATAAGACTCGAACATCTGAAGGGGTGCTTTAACTCCACGGGACCAATGTCTTCACTTTGCTCGGTGGATCCCTCGAGGGATCGACATGTTTTGCATCCTCAAGGACATCTTTCGCATTGCACCCATCATCGAGGATGCACGTGCTCACTTGGATGATGACTCCGACGCAGATGACATGCACGATACTCTCTTAGCTAACATGTAAGTGATATTTTTTGCGTTTCGTGACTTTATTACTGCTAACAGTGACTAGATCCAAAGATACGCAGGACCAGATGCTCCGGACGTTCAAGAAGATCATTACAGGTGCCCCTTACCTTCAAGAACTCATAAGAGGTGGTCGCAAAAAATCGGATGAACTGCAGGAGATCCTTGACGAGGTATGTGCGCATATATGCACCTTTCAGTTGACTAATGATCAAACAGATGCAATATTTGATTGGACAGGTGCGATCCGAAGATGCGGCTCATCTGAAAAGGAGCATTGCACGTTATGCAGTGTTTAATGGAAAAGGTCTGGTGCCGCCCGTCTTCCCTGATACCAAAGAATCGCGTGCACAGATGGGTCTCAACCACCCTCAACTCGCTCGCATGCTATGCCCCATAAAGTTTCTTTCAGAGTATCAAACGGACCCATCAGCGTACGTACTACATTATACTTTTTTCTGTATTTCTATGAACTAACATCGCCTAACCAGCACAAAAGCCAAGCTTGAGGCTGGCACTATCAAGATGGATGCACGAGCTTGGCCTGCCCTGATGTATAGGGCTGGAGCCACTGGAGTCGCTGGGGAGGACTTCGACATAACAAACGTACAGGACGGCCTTTTCGAAGGATTCCTCATTGAACGTGTGAGTTTCCGTATACTGGTATTCATGACAGGAACTCACTGGCACATTATTCAAGGTAATGAAACATATACTCACCGGCCCCTCATCTGCACTCGCTGGAGACGACTTTCATGTCTCAAACTCTTGCAATGCGGTACTTCACAGAATGATGGCTGTGGAAGCTGAAAACGTCGCTTATTCAGCTGTCCAGGTGAGTTATTCCCTTGAAGGCGATATACTGATTCATTCATTTTCTATAGGCACGCTCTGCAATTACCTCTCGTGACAAGTGGTCCACGGACGATGGAAATTTCTCATATCGAAAATTCTATTACAGAATTATCGACGTCATTCGCAATCCACCGGACAAAGCATGGGCTATGGCGACTCTGCAACATTATAACCTGTATGTCAAAATTTTATAGTAGTACATGCACTGATTGTTTTACTTTTTAAGGAAACTATTCAAAGACAAGGCTGGACGTGCTGCTGCCCTCTCGACCTCTGCAACCTCTGATGTCGGAGAGCCGGACGAGGACGAGGACGACATTGCGCTGATGCGCAAACAGTTTGCCCTTCGATCTGCGAATCCCTCGAGTGTAGCGAAACCTGTCTCAACTCCTCCTGTTCCAGCAAGTTCTGAGATGCTTCCCCCACGGCTGCGCTCGACCAAGGTCACAAGCCCGCCTGTTTCGCCTTCTCCAGAGCCACCCTCACCTGCTCCACCCACTCCCAAGCCACGTCCCATTCCTAAGCCACGTCCCATTGCGAAGGCGCGACTGGAAGCTCCAAAGTCACCTGCACCAAGTCCACCCACCCCCAAGGAACGTCCTGCTGTGGAGGCACAAGCTCCGAGCTCACCTTCACCTGCTCCAAGTCCACCCACTCCCAAGGCATGTCCTGTTCCCAAGGCACGTCCTGTTCGTAAAGCCCCATCCGAGGAATCCACACCACTTCCCCGCAAAAAGGGAAAGGTGGCCCCACCAGAAAGCCCACTTACAGAATCCGAACCGTCGGATGAGGAGGTTGAGACTCCAGTTCGAAGATTGCCTCGGCAAGCTCGACCAAAGGCCGGCCGCAAGACTGCCGCATCCGCTAGCGCACCAAAGAAAAAGAAGGGAAGAAAATGACCTGTAATGATTTTCCATTGTCTCGTCATTGACACTGATTTTCTCACCTAGTGTGTGTCTCATACTACCGCATCTGCCTCACTCCACGTCGCTGTTCGTCGTTGCATGTTTTGCTCTTTTCGCATGTCATCCTACCTCTAGAGTCCTTCTGTCATGGGACGCTTTGGCGCATGGGCGCACTTAGATGTACTTTTAGAACCTGCTCTGTCCTTGTAATACATTACTGCAATGAAATGGTCTTATCAGATTTTCTCGAGTGATCAGAACTTATCAGAACTTTCAACATATCAATGCTTCTAAGGTCACAAACTATGCTAAGGTGCGAGTTACCTACTCAACTTCCGTCATCTGGCCTGAAAAAGCTTTTATCAACCAGACCTTATATGTTTCTTTACCCGCCTTCCGTACGCTGATGCACCTGGTCCACCTTTTCTGACCTTCCGCATCCTGGCCAGCCCTTAGCAGCCCAGATCCGATTTGGGGAATTTTGGTGATGGACTGCAGTTATGTCATTTTTATAGCCTTTGAACCATCGTAGGGGAGTGGTGATCCTCATGAGCTTCCACATTTTACTGGATGTTGATGGTATGGAATACGGACGACGCTAAACTTTGGAGGGATTATGTCATTCTCTAAGCTGCAGAGGGTGTATTATGGTGCGTTTCATGGTGCCTCACTGCTTGCCTCATTCAATAGACGCCCAGGATATCTAAGGCTGTTCGTGCCCACGCCTCCATCACTGTAATGCACTCACCCTATTGTCATACCCGCTGTCCTCAACAGTATGCACATCTGCAGTGCATACATGCGTGCGACTCTTGTCTTCGCAGCTTCCAAAATGTATCCCATTACATCAAATCGACCAGTCCGTGCTTTCCAGCGCTCGAATCTGACTGTCTATCTTGCATGAATACCGTTGTTTTTCGTATCTAGCAGCTACTCCAGCTTGTCACCACGTTACTCCTTCGAACGTATGTATATAGCTTACTGCAATATCACTTCTCCATCCAACAGACTCCCAAGATCCTTGTGTGCACAAGATGCAACCAAATTTCGTGGTACAGCCTCGGAATCCACTCACCATCGCCACACTGCTAATGGCCGCATCTCACTGCGATGCCCCTTCATATTTTTCAACACAACAACTGTCTTCAAGTTACACATCCGAAGCGTCTTGTCATCGTACGTTGTCTATCGGGAAAACCTGCGACTGCGGTTGCGCCGCTCTCATGATCTTTAACAACTCAACAGGGTGCGGTGCTTGAAACGAGCTTCGACATCTTGCTGGATGCTGACGATGTGGAGCACGGTCAAGGTAGACTTTGGAGGGATTGTGGGTGTCTTTCTTTAGGCTGCAGAGGTGCGTATATCATGCGTTTCTATATTGCTTCACCCCATTGACTTGCCTGGTGTTTCCTTAGACACCCAGTAATACGTGGATCCCATTCATCTCCCCAGGTGAATATGATCCCACCATACAGGAACCACGGTGGAAGTCATTGACTTGGCAGCAGGTCGGTGATGTCATCCATGCCACCATATGTTTATGCTGCTGGCATCTGATCGCTTCTGCATCTCACAACGTCTCACGAAGCAGCTGTCAGGTCGGCGAACCGTCGCCATCTTCCCGCACTCTATTTTGACGACTTGTGTAATATTCTCCACGAAAGTAATATCTTCAGCTGAGCTTTTGAGCTTTGATGAGATGGTCTTAGCGAGTGGCCTCTACCAAAGGGCACCCTGCTGGAGGGTACTTCACAAGTGCCGCTATCAAAGGTCCTTTTCTGTATGTACTTTGCCGCTGACTTCCGACCTCCTCGTCATCTTATCTCGCGAATGGCCGGTTTGCAGAAGGGTGCTTGAGACAATAAGGTGGAAATTAACGTAAGTTGGCATTCATTTCCATCTTCGTCTTCCTCCACATGAACACCTAAAGCATGAAATTCCTCGCTATAGAGGTTGGAAGAACTCTTTGAATACATGTGGAAAGCTGTGGCGACGTGAGTTGGACACATATGTCCAGGCGCTTGCACTGTCATCTTCAAGAAGGCGCTTATGATAACAGCCTCATGTCCTGGACGTCTATAGACACGAGGCAAGTCAATTCAGTATTAGATTCCTCTACCAAGCCCACATCAGCTTCTAGTAAAATGGGGCTCCTTATCACAAGCACCACGCCCGTCTGAACATTCGAAGATCACGGAGAAGGCATACACTATATCGCAGTGTTGAAGATAGGTGTCGTGTTGAAGAAGATTGAAGGGCCCTCGTGTATACACATCCCACTTCTCTCACGTGAACATTCGCTTTCTTCAGGGACTCTGGGTCGGATCCCAGCATACGGGGGTGAGATACATCAACTTATGTCAGATTCACACTCTTGAATTTTTTCATTGATATAAATATGATAGCACCCAGAATGCATGCCGCTACAGTATCTCTAGTGTCTTGATCATGTCCGGAATGGAAGAAAGATCTATGACTTGTGCAATAATATCATGATCTGACGCGATCCTCTTGCATTCTCCGCCGCGCTGATCCGCAAGCAAAAATGCACTGAAAGGTGAACAACCAATCGCAAGGCTCGATCGCTCAGTACTCAGTACTCAGTTCCGGATCGACCGACTCATCTGCTTCAGGAAACTCGTGAGGCGAAATCTGTAATGGAGACTCGGGCGCGGACCAATAACCTTCCTCGCTCTCTGTGTCGTCATCAGCGTCAGGCAGCTCTAGTATGTCTATGCGATACACACTGCCACATTTACGGAGATTGTTGGGATGGTTAACAATATATAGTCTACCATGACACTTTAATAAGTTCATCGGTTCAGTGATGCATGTCGCGAATGTAGCTGCCTGCGCTTTCACAATGATTGTCGATAATTCTGAAGGAGTCCAAAAGAATATCAGGTTTGAAAAGTTGAAAGTAAGTCATGATCATCATGATGTAAAAAGTAGGGCTTGCTAGTCAATTATAAAGGTCTATCTTAAGGATAAGAAATAACGACGGACTCGATCCCGCCTGGACGCTGATATCTATATGATCTATGGTATATGTTCCCCAGAAATGGTAAGCCACTCTCCGTTCTATTTCATGTTGATGCGAGAATCTTCAATGCTTCCTGGATCTTCGCCTCCTCCTGCGCCCATAGTGGAATAGGGATCCTATATGTATCTCCAACCCGGGCATATGATATATCGCCCACACGTCCGACGGGCTTGAACTTTGTGAGGTCGACGGCACCTCTGCCTGTGAGCATGTCTTTGCGCACGTGGAAGTACTTGACGTGCGCGAGGATGCGCGTGCTGTCGTGCTCGCCTGTGACCGGGTGGGTGATGTCTATCGATTGGTAGAGCTGTTGGGAGGCGACATTGTTAGCGAGCGGGCGAGCTAGGCGTGAGATGGAATTACCTCGCATTCCATGCTAAAAGCGCTTTCCTTGACGCGCGAGGCTCTTATTTTCACCTGAACATGTCGTTGTTAGCGCATATATCGTATCATGAAGGTGCACACATACGCATTTCTCCTTTGTCAGGCCGCTGAGAGTCCACTCGTCGACTTCGGGAGGAGCGTCTACGGCAGCTGCATTTGCGTTTTCGATAAACGCCTCGCTGATGATGTTCACAGCGAATCCTTGGCCATTCTTCAAGTTCCTGGTCGTATCTTTTAGGTGGCCCGCAGCGTTGCGGTTGATTCCGAATGAGATGACGGGCGGATAGTCTGTGACCTATGGGAAGAGGTCATTGAACCATGAGAGGGACGCGTTGTTTGTGGTATTACTCACTGTGTTGAACCAACTGGTGGATGCAAGCCAGGTAAGCGTGCAGAACGCAATAGATCATGAAAGTGTGTCTTACCTGAACGATGCCAGGTTCTCTACGCCATCCTCGCTGATCGTGGATACAATTGTCATGGGGCGTGGTGCGATGCCTGAATTCAAGAGCTTCCTAATATTGCTGTGGATTGCGGTCACGATCGCGTCTAATCAACAGGTGAAGGAGTACGTACGCCTTGTCCATTTCTGCTGTATTATAGACTTTCCACCCTGCAGATTCGCCTGCAAGCCAGTCTTTTCCAGCAGGGGTGGCGTCGACTTTCTGGCCGTACGTCCAGAATGGATTGGGTGATTGGGTGATGGTGGAGTAGGAGGTGGTATCGAATGGAGGGATGTACATGGTTAGTGAATGAGCTGGATGAAGACAGCAAGACTGACCCGTTTTTATAGTTACATGGTCGCAAATATCGAGACCAGTCTGAGGTCGAAGCGCTGATAACGGATGATGCTGACTGCAATTGGCTTACGAGGCTATTATAAGGACGCAAGTTATGGATGAACGACCTTGTCGCGTCCGTGATCGGATCAGTAGTGTCAGCTACTGGGATTTACAAATTACAAGTGCACCCCGGTAATTTGCGATTCGTTCGGAATGAATGACCCTCTTCCGTACATTCCATATTTGGATGTCCTTCTTGGTTGCTGAGCGTATTCTGTATCAGTCGCAAGGTGCAAAGGCCAACTCTCGGGTGTCAGGACGAGTCCCTGATTAACTTGGTCCAGTATTAGCTTCGTCCAGTAGCTTCGTCATAACGCGGAAATGCACATGGTTGACGGTTTGCCCGGCGCGTTAACGAAGAGTGCAGGAGTGCTTGCAGTCGAGTGCTGATCCACAGGAAGAATGTGTAGCACGGGTGTTTATGCAGAAGGTCGGAGATCGACGGGCTAGCATGGGATCCAGCAAGTAAAGACACACTGAGCTGGAATAAACATCTCTTTGCCATTCACATTGATAACAATGGCCCCACTATAGTCACGGGTAGAGGGCGTCTATACACTCTCATCATGTGTGACGTGCGGAAGAATGGATTCGATAAGAACCGCGCAGAGCAGTCGTAGTACATATACTTGATGGTGCGTCCCTTGTCATGACAATATTTCTCATATTGACAATCGCTCGTATCTAGCCCAAATCTAGCCTCTATTGCCTACTCACTCGGGCGCCACATCATGTCTTATACCTACGCTTCACGATGCTGTCCATACCTCGATACATCCATGTCATTTTCCGTCATCTTGGTTTTTTGTCCGATATCGTCGAGACAATAATACAATGCTTTGATTGCCTTCTGGATGATTTTTAGCAGTTCTAAATCTACCACGCTCTCGCAGATTTTTATGTTCATGACTTACTCCCCCGGGCTGCGTGCGGTCCTGACGAGCATCGACGATGTTGTCAGTCATCATGTCCGTGACAGTCCGTCCCCTTCAGCATTGGAGCATACCGAACCAGGTCTCGAATTCTCAAGCTCTCAAGATTGAAAATAAGAATGAATAGCGATCATTTGATGGGCGCGACTACATAGCACAAAACAGAACGCGGTATGATAAGTTCCGGAAAACGGGTGTTGAAACCCGATGTATTCTGCAGTGCCCAGCTGGCTCGGGCATCATCTACTCACTCCTTTGCTATCAAGTCCTTTGCTGCAGGTCATCAGTAAGCTTCGAATTTCAGGTTCACAGCAAGGTGAGGGACGTACACAAGCGATTTTCAAGGATGAAGTCAAGAATCTTCTTCTCTAGTTCCTCTCCGTCGTAGCCTTGACCAGAAATCTCTTTCGCTCCTTGCTCCACTACGACAGCTGTCGGAGATTTCAGGTAGTAGTCCACAGCAGACTCTATGAACTCCAAGTCCTCCGAGTCGTTCGCGAGAAAGGCGGAGTACTCGAGGACAATAATAGTAGCTACTCGTTGTCATTAAGACCACAAATGGTCATGCAGTGAGAAACTAACCGATGCCAGTCTGGACAATTATGTTCGCACCAGAAGTGAACATCGATCCCTTCGCGACCTGTGGCACACTCTTAAGTGCCGAGAATCAATGCAAAGGAAAACCAACCTACCAAAGGCTGAAGAACGATGAGAATATCATGTAGCCTGATTTCGGCCTAGCCACAGGTTGAAAGTGTCGGTATATGCATCAACTCCACAGAGCAAAGTACGTGCCTTCTACAGGAAAGGAATGACAGAATTATGAGGTGCCAAATTAATATACAAAGACGCACGTTCTATTTGATTGACGTGACGGTTGCGAATCATTAACCACCAAATTGTAGACAATGACTGCTGCGTTCAGGTAACTTACAAACTGTCAGGAGTTGAAACCAGATGAGTGTCACTATGTAATGGTGAAGATCTGGCATGCATGGACGTACGAGCTAAATAAGATTGCATATCAGCAGAGTACTATCATATCAGAAAGGATATGATTAACACACATTCTGCGAACACAATACACACGAGGAATGATGTGGCTAGAATCCTTAGCGATTGAAACACACTCACATCCTATAGAGTGAAACGGTCAGTCGAAATGATTGACACGGTTCACATTATGAGAGTCAGGTAACTCACGTTCTGCACAGGGCAATAAAATATGCAGGATGAGCGAACATGGCAAATAAATTATCAAGGAGGGATGCTCAACAAACTATGGATTATATGAGTAATGATGATCTGACTAGAATACAAAATGCTTACATCAGGCTATGAAAACGAGTCACCATAATGATATTATTCAGTATCATTTGAATACAGGATATGATCAAGACACCTACCAACTGCCAAAAAACAACAGAAGGATGTGAGAGCTGTTCACATGGGTTGCAGGGAGAAAACCATCCGGCACTTACCTCCTATCAACAGTTGATTGTCAGCACGGGTTAAGGATGACAGACAACGAAAGGTACATACTTTCTGTCAATAGATGGGCAGCAACAAGGCATCAGGATAATAGGAACTAGAGATAATCAAGGCACTTACCGCCTGTCGACAGGCGAGCAGCAGCGAGGAATGGGAACCGTGAGCACGGGTCAAGGACTAGAAACAATCAAGGCACTTACCCGCTGTCAACAGGCGAGCAGCAACGGGAGATGGGAATCATGAGCATATGCAGGGGACCAGAAACAATCAAGGCGCTTACAGACTGTCAACAGGCGAGCAGCAACGAGAGATGGAAATCATCAACACGGATCGAGGACTAGAAACAATCAAGGCACTTACATTCTGTCAACAGGCGAGCAGCAGCAAGAGATGGAGATCATCAGCACGGGTCGAGGACTAGAAACAATAAAGGCACTTACCCACTGTCAACAGGCGAGCACCAGCGAGGCATGGGGATCATCAGCGCAGGTCGAGGACTAGAAAAAATAATCAAGGTACTTACATTCTGTCAACAGATGAGCACCAGCGAGAGATGGGGATCATAAGCCCAGGTCGAGGACTAGAAACAATCAAAGCACTTACAGACTGTCAACAGGCGAGCAGCAGCGAGGGATGGGGATCATCAGCACGGTTGAGGACTAGAAAAAATAAAGGCACTTACATACTGTCAACAGGCGAGCAGCAGCGAAAGATGGGGATCATGAGCATGGGTTGAGGACAAGAAAAAAATCAAGCCACTGACATCCTGTCCACAGGCGAGCAGCAGCGAGAGATGGGGATCATGAGCACAGGTCGAGGACTAGAAACAATCAAGGCACTTACATACTGTCAACAGGCGAGCAGCAGCGAGGGATGAGGATCATGAGTACAGGTCGAGGACTAGAAACAATCAAAGCACTTACACGCTGTCAACAGGGGAGCAGCAGCGAGGGTTGGGGATCATCAGCACGGGTCGAGGACTAGAAACAATCAAGACACTTACCAACTTTCAACAGGCGAGCGGCCATAAGGCATTAGCGTTGTCCATACTGTTCGATATTCGTGACCCACAATCTTACCAGCTGTTATCGACGGGCAATTACAATCAAGGAAACATATATCAGAATGTCTTCATTTTCAGCACTTCAATGTTTACCATTTATGAGCACCATTGCAGGGGTATTGTCATACAGAATGAATCTTCGTCTTACTTTGAGATGCGGAAACCACTTAGCAATGTAATACTGGTAGACTTCATGATCGACCCGACGTAGCCCGGATTGCTGATGTGCGCGATCAACGATTGTTCTAGATGATGTTGGAACACAAATATGTGACTTGAAAATTTGCGGCTCACGCGACGGCACACTTGATACAAAGGTCCAGATTTGATTGTTGTGTCGACACCAAGCACAACCGCAACTCGTCGTTGTCCAGTGCGAAAGTCGTGCGTTCCAGTAGAGTGTCACAGTTTGTATTCGGCTTGTTCATATCTAGTACAGTCATTAATATCAACTTTGACAAAAGATAACTCAATCCAAACCACTTACTCTCCAAGCGCACATGAAACTTGGGACGTGTACGATTTTCAGGGTCGCACAACCGATCACAGACGCCTGTCTTAGTAAACAGTTCTTCGACACGTTGGGCGATCCTTTTTGAGCGTTCTTCTCCAGATACACCTTGTATTTCCTTCTTGATTTCTCCATACGCCACTGGACGCAGAGCTTCGAACTTGGTGAACACCGCAATCACGGGAACTGAAGATCGATCATTTAGTCCTAGCACGACAGGTGACAACGAAGTGACAAGCTCACCGTGCCCAGTGTCGCACTCAAAGAAGAATTTCTCCTCCGACCGCTGGAATGTCCGACAGGATTCGTCCATTGGAATACAATACCTGATGGCAATCAACAAGCGCAGAACGTCGAAAGGGAGTTACCTACCAGATAGCATGTATCCGCTCTTCCAATTTCGTCGCGTGCACACGCTGTGAGATAAATTTCTTCATGTCCTCAAATTCTTCTTCGGAACCCGCTTCGAAACCGCATGAGTCGTGAAAAAGGAAACCGGGATTACTCTTGAACACCATCTCGTTCGTGATGTCATTATTCCCACGCTGAGCATCCGTCAGCGCATGTACTATGCCCGCATGGCAGATGATGCGCGCACCTTGATCGTGGCAGTCACGACGGCAGCATCGGTCTACTCACACTTGATCAACGATAGACTCGTGCATGGCATAGATCATCACCTGCACCTTGTTTCCTTCGGCATCGTAAATTTCTGGTTCGTTTGTGGTGTTGCAGACCTTCTGAAGAATGGTTGTTTTTCCTGCGTTTGCTCTCCCTATGATCAGAACCCGAAAGCGCCCGATGCTTTCTCTGATCTCCTGGGCATCGATGGTCGCCATTGGAAAGTCTTGATGTGCGTCCTGGGGGTAGAGGTGATTTGGTTTATCGTGAAAGCTGTACTGTGGTACAGAAAGAGATCGTGGCAAGATATGATAGCGCACAAATACCTCTTATATATATGGCTTCGACACAACAACTACACACGGCATCTATCTCTCCTCTATCCGTGCATCAAGCAACTGATTATACCCTCGCAGACAAGAAGTTGCAACTGTTCAATCTTTCGTACGATAAAGCAGAAGGATTGCACAACAAATGGCGGATAATGTGAACGTTGATAGATATATGAGCTATAGCGAATAATCAGAATACGACGGAAATAACAGAATTTTGCTCTTCCCTACCCTTCTAGTTGAAAAACAGTCATGTCAGACATCTCTGTGGATGAAAGTGAGCTCAATTTTCTGAGGTCTTCCAGATGATTGATCCTTGCAACGTCTGAGAGCAAACAAGAGTATGTCGGGATGTAAGACACCCTCTGGAGTGGGTGACATCCCGTGGTGCTCGACAGGGTCTGGACGTTTGGAGTTCCCTCGGAAGATGGTGGTACGAACTAAGGGGCGACGGAGCAGTAGGTGGCTGAAACTCGAGCGTCGACCACCATGGTTGGAACTGAAGGAAAGGCCAGCCGTGTAGCTTGTATATTCATAGATAGCTTGGGGGAGGTTTGGTACACGTCCGCGGATGAGTCCGACTGTCCATCATAGTTTATAAATTGACGCATATATGGTCAAGTATCAAAGAAGACGTACCGGTCAACATCCGCGTGAATTCGGAGGGCTGGCGTGTCTTGCTGGATTACGACAAAATGCGCCCCAAGAATACTTTAATACTGACTCATGAGCAGAATGGACAAACTTCTTGTAGCCTCAAGAGTCGCAGTGGCATCCAGTTCTGTGCACTACCGTCTGACTGGGCCCTCGTTCGACTCTTCCCGCCCTGGTGCCTACTGTGATTAGTAATATTGTTCAAGCTGGCTCTCTCTCGGTTCATAGCAAGCTATCTGGCATCTTTCGACGGTATTGAGATCACATTGAGATCATATATAGCGTCAACTGTCGTGGTGTAAGTAATGAAATACGTGACCCTGCGCCTGGAACATACAAAATAGCATGCTTTGGCAAGAATACAGTGAGTACGATGAGGACTCGCAATGCATGCCAAGACTCACTACATAGTTTGCAAGACATTGACTGTATGCCTTAGATCCAGCCATTTCGGAAACGTCAACAGAACCGGGGGACATGGCGCTGAATGCTGGGTGCATGGTATGGGCGACATAAAAATCCTCATGGTGGCCTATATCACATACACCGACATGGTCAATAAACCGGGCGAATCAACTGTTGTGTCTGTATATGATGGCCTTCTGCGAGCAGTAGACAGTGACTTCGCTGCAGCATCTTAAAAGGAAGAAATTGTGAGTGGTGGATTGAAATAGAGATAAGTACCGTACGCATGTCTAGATGGTCATTTGCCAGATATCGATGACTCGGACGTCGAACCTGGAGAGGAATAAGACGCTGAATATGCCATGACGTTCCTCTGCCGATTAGCTATAGGCTGCATCACCTCACAATTACTATGACGATGGACACCATAGTATGTTCCAGAATCGAGACGTGGTATTTGCACTGAGACTTTGCACAATTAATCGCTCGTATACAGAAGAATCTTCAATCGGTCCTTCAAGTTAACACTGACAAGTGAACTTACGTTTGTTTGTTGTTATTTAATTCTAAAGACTTTGCGCAAACCTTCCTGCTGAAACAGTGAACAGGAACGACCATATACAATCACTACTGCCTCAACGCGCAATTCAAAATTGTGTGACCCACTCCGTTTTTACGACCAAGCTTAGAAGAAAGATTGATACAAAGTGCTCTCATCCGGAGCGCGCCCGATCATCTTCTGACAAATGTAGCTTGTGATTTTTATGGGCTTCGCTTGGCTACTTGCAGTCCTGATCAGAAGTACGTTATTCCCTTGCTACCATACACGTATTTCTACAAGTCGAATTAGTACGCTGATGTCGAATAATCAGTTTAGCAAGTAGACGAGAGTCATGAAAATTGGAACGTCGAAATGACTGGAAAGCGAGCATGTTGGAACGTATTTGGGCTTATCAACCAATTAGTGCTGGGCTCACCCTACGGTCAAGATCAGGGAGTAAACTAGCTTTGCATCAACAGCTGATTCTCACACAAATGGTGCTGGTTCCGGGTCTCCTTAGGCTACTTCATCTGGTTCTTCAAGATGGGCGGAAAGGGCTGTATTGGTTGATGCGAGTAGCGCTGTCCGCGTAGTCGAATTCGCCTCTCATCATTTTGGGTTGAAGTTAGTACGTCAAGTCGTTCGTCCCAATTGCAGATTTATCAGAGCTTCTGCAAGGCAACTGTCTCTTCCGATAATCGCGTTTGCGTCTATGAGTTCTTGCAAGAATCATCGCTAGCCACATGGCAGCTCTCTAAAGAAGTCGATGTCTCAACGTTCCGATCTGTATCGCTGTCCTCGTACTCCCTGGCGTTGGCGGCACAAACACAAACAAGTGCAACTCTTTGGGCGCTTTCAATCCAACCCTGGTCGCTCGATCCCTGCAACAATCGCAAAACCACACCACCCAGGGATGGCCCGGAATAGGGAATCGAGAAGCAGATGGAGGGTGGTGCTGGTGCATATGATAGATATTTAGGGGAAATCATCGCGGCTAGCTGTGGGATATCTGGCGCCATCAAAGTATTGTCACGCTGTATTTTTGTGGTATCGCTCACTCTGAATCACACATTATACAATTGTCTGCCTCTCATCAGCCTACCACTCTCCTCACTTTAGACCCGACGGGGTTGCCCGCTGAGTCAGGCCTATCACCGGCAGGCGATGGAGATGCTCCAACATCATTTGTGATCACGTCGGTACCTTCGGGTAGGCTATCATATCACCTTATAGCTACTAGAAGTCGTGATGGACATGTTAGGATATGGCAAGTCTAGCCTGCGGAGGAAGAACCTAACGTCAAAGGAGAAGACGACGATCCTCTATAGATGGTCTGCAGATGCAGTAGCAGATTTTGATCACCACAAGTACGTGCGATCGCCACTTCCCCGTGACTTTTTTTACTGATTGGATGCCTGCAGATCTGCGGTTGGCCGTGTTGAGTGGAAGATCGCTGGTTTTCCCCAATAATGTTGTTTTGACTGCGTGCCAATTGTGTTATTTGATGTCTATAGTGCGTGATCTTGAACCCGCTTGGGCTCATACCTTCCTTCGCTGGACCCGAATGCTTGATTTGAATTCCCAAGGCGATATACCTGCTGTCATTGGTATGCTCTCTAGTCATACTCTTTTATTGTGGTAACCTTATTACCAAATCAGATCTTCAATGCACTGCACATGGGCTTTCCCCTACCTCAAATTACGCCATACCCAGTACTCGACAGGTTCATGCTCAGGTGTGATAGTTTGAACGTAGTGCACACTGCCAGCCATTTCAAAACATCCTCGATAGACAAAAATATCATGGAACACTCTCACTTATGACGTACGGAAAAATGTACTAGATAAGGACTGCGCCGATCGTAGTATGATACTTGATGGTGCGTCCCTTGTCACGAGAATGTTTCTCATATGGTATTCACATTTGCTCGCATTATCTAGCCTCTATTGATTGCTTTTCCCATCTGACTTTATTTAGACGCTACCCTGTTGTGTCTACAGCATACCTACGCTTCACGATGCTGTCAATACCTCGATATGTCTGCTTCATTTCCTGTCATCTTGGCTTTCTGTCCGATATCTTCCCCCTCGTCCAGACGATAAAGTTATATTCAACTACGAGACAATAATACAATGCTTTGATTGCTTTCTGAACGATTCGTCTGTTCTAAATCTACCGTGGTGTCCCAGATTTTCATGCGCATGACTTCCCCCGGTTGCTCACTGTCTTGACCAGCATCGATAATGTTGTCAGTTGTCATGCCCGTCCGCTTCAGCATTGAAACATACCGAACCGGTTCTCGAATTCTCATGGTTGAAGATAAGAATGAACAGCGATCATTGACGGGCGCAACTACATGCACAAAACAGAACGCGATATCATAAAATCTGAAAAACGGGTGTTGAAACCCTACACAATCTGCAGCGCCCAGTAGTTGAAACTAGAGTGCTGAGTATAGTACATGGCATGGGAAAGAGCATCGGAAGCAAGGAAATATCACGGTCTACACCGCTGGGTACTCACAATTGAAGCCGACATGTTTGGTATCGTACAAGACGGACACGGCATGGGAAAAACGCATCTAAAAACAGGAAACTTGGCTCGGGCATCATCTACTTCTTTTCTATCAAGTCCTTTGCTGCAGGCTGTCAGTAAGCTTCGACTTCCAAGTTCACGACAAGGTCAGGGACGTACACAAGCGATTGTCAAGGATGAATTCCAAAATCTTCTCCCCCAATTCCTCTCTGTTGTAGCCTTGACGAGAAATCTCTTCTGCTCCTTTCTCCACTGCGACAGCTGTTGGAGAGTTCAGGTAGTAGTCCATGGCAGACCCGATGCGCTCAAAGTCCTTCTTGTTGTTCGGGAGAAAGGCAGAGTACTCGAGGACAATAATAGTAGCTGCTTGTTGTCATTAAGACGACAACTGATCATGCAGTGAGAAACTAACCGATGCCAGTATGAACAATTCTGTTCGCAGCAGAAGTGAAAAGTGAAAACTTCGCAGCCTGTTGCGCACTCTTACAGTGCTGAAGATCAATGTGAATGAAAAGGAACCTACCAAAGGCTGAAGGACGCGGATGATATCACTTCGCTTGATTGTGGTCTAGCCACAGGTTCAACAAGGTGTGGGTATCAAAATCATCACCACAGAGCAAAGTACTTGCCTCCTACAGACGATGAATGAAGGTGGCAAATTAACATTTGATTAATAACAGAGACACACCTTCTATTTGGTTGACGTTACAGTTGCAAGTGATTAACCACTAGATTGTAGACAATGACTGCTGTGTTGAGGTAACTTACAAACTGTCAGGGGTCGGAACCAGATGACCATTACTACTATGTAATGGTGAAGATTTGGCATCGATGGACGTACAAGCTAAACAAGATTATTTGTGAGCGGAGTACCATCATATTAGACAGGATATGATCAACACACATTCTGCGAACACATGATGAATACAGGGGATCGCGTAGCTAGAATCCTTAACGATTGAAACACAGTACTCACATTCTATAGAGTGAAAGAGTGAGTGAAAATGATTAATCTATTTAATAATTCACATGATGAGGGTCAAATGACTCACATTCTGCACAGGACAGGAGAGTATCCAAGATGAGTAAATATGGAAAATAAGTTATCAAGAAGGGATACTCAACGAACTACACATTGTGATTACAGCGGTTTGCATAAGTAATGGCGCAGCCCTGTGTGAGAATTTCAGTACTTATCAAGATAATGGACTTAGAAAATTCAGCTCGATTTTGGCTTGATTTGACTTGTTGACAAGTTGTTGCCTCGGCCGGCCGATGTATTCACTACGTAGCTTGACGACGTCACCCGTTTCACGATAGAGCTTGCAGATTCGAAGGAAGGTCCGTCTCGAAAAACCAACACAATCAAGTATTTCGCGAGTGGTGAGAATGTAAAACTTAGAGGCGAGCGGACGAGTCGGAGGGAGCTAATAACGAAAACGATCTCAGTACTTGGGACAAGACTCGTTGTATATTTGGTATATGTACCTAATAACGAAAACGCTACGAGAAACGTTAGCTACGTGTTCGTCGTGTCGTGCAACTAATGGTACTCACATCTCAGTACTTGGGACAAGACTGAGATGCGTCTATCTATCTGACTCGAACTATAAGGTAAAACGAGTAGGATCATATATTAATCAGAGACTGGAAAAATAAGGGAGGGCACGAGCCACTGTCAATGCGCGCTCGTCCGTTTCCGCTTTGGCATGCGCTCGTTCCTCATACGTCGGTTTCATCGGCCTTCGACACCTCGGAACTCTTGCATCTCGACACTCCCCCTCGAGCGCAAGCTAGGCACCTGTTCATGGCAGGGTGATACTTAACCATGTCTAACTATACACAGTACATTTTGTAAGTTTGTCTCGGAGTCACCAACATGAAGCTTCATGAAGCTTAACAGGCACAATACCTCACTGGTTCTAAAGATCGGGATCTCTCTTGTGATCTCGATGCTACTGGAAATGTTTTTCTCAGGCTTCCAAGAATAGCGCTACCACCGGAAAAATTACCAAATTGGGATATTCCAATAATCTCACTATTCCCACATACCTCCCTGGCTCTACTGCTGCACCAGAGCTTTCCCCTTGCTCACTCATGTATATAAGTAGTAGAATGGCATGTACATACATAAAATGATACAATAGACCGCTTTTTTCATTGTCTGAGAGCTTGTACAGCAGTCTACAGTGCTGACTACAATATGTGTATCCCAGGATTAAAACATATTCGGTTTTTTGCCCCTTTAGCAGGGAAGCAATTCTGACTGTATATATCATATATTAGAGTGTTAATGAATATATTACACCGCTTGTTTGAGCCTCTGTAGTGTCCTACATCAGTAGATATGTTAAATTCATGAATACCTCTCAAAAAACATAAACCAGTTCGCATTTTTTAGTGTTTAGGTATATAGACTGGTGAATATTATTTCTAACATCTCTTTACTAGTATATACATCATATCAAGAGTATAGGTCAGCAGGATCAGTCCCTAGGGTCATATGTATTGTCATCTTCCTGGTGGTTCACTCCCTGAGAAAATTTTTCCTGCAGCTCCGGCCCTCTAGGATGGTAGGTAGTCTTTTACTATGAACATATGGAATATATTTATCACATAGGTATACCAGAACAATACCAGGATCCTTGTCTACAATCCAAAGTCACTTTTTGCCTACAATGTACCATATTTTCGCATTTTCAAGGTTTTTCACTACATTCTCACTACATAGACTATACCAGCTGTTCATATATCACTTATAGTACATATATGAAGCCTTCCCAAGGCCATGATCAGGTAGAAATATGTCAGAGTAATGATATCAAGCACATATCTCCTATTCTCACTGATAAGAATTCCCAGACATGAATATAGTAAAATATTATGATCAGACTATCTTGGAGTACACTATATATACCAAGTAATACAGTCCTCGACTACCAGAAGGATCCATGAATAATTGACAGCAGGGGAATCCAATAGATAAGAAATAGGTCGTGGGAAAGTCAAAAAGTCCAAACATCGAAAAAGTACTATGCACCAACAGTCTATGCAAGGGTGGTCTGACCATAATAATACAACAAATTGAGACCACAACACTTCCACATCACCTTTACCTTCACAACATATATTAGTATAGTATATTTAAGTAGTTTACAATGTATTCTATACATTTTTAATGAAATCTTCGCCCTAGACAGGGTTGAAATATAACATTTGCATGATTGTGGGATTTGCCCCTATATCATTGATATCATTACTATGACATATTTCTACCTGATCATGGCCTTGGGAAGGCTTCATATATGTACTATAAGTGATATATGAACAGCTGGTATAGTCTATGTAGTGAGAATGTAGTGAAAAACCTTGAAAATGCGAAAATATGGTACATTGTAGGCAAAAAGTGACTTTGGATTGTAGACAAGGATCCTGGTATTGTTCTGGTATACCTATGTGATAAATATATTCCATATGTTCATAGTAAAAGACTACCTACCATCCTAGAGGGCCGGAGCTGCAGGAAAAATTTTCTCAGGGAGTGAACCACCAGGAAGATGACAATACATATGACCCTAGGGACTGATCCTGCTGACCTATACTCTTGATATGATGTATATACTAGTGAAGAGATGTTAGAAATAATATTCACCAGTCTATATACCTAAACACTAAAAAATGCGAACTGGTTTATGTTTTTTGAGAGGTATTCATGAATTTAACATATCTACTGATGTAGGACACTACAGAGGCTCAAACAAGCGGTGTAATATATTCATTAACACTCTAATATATGATATATACAGTCAGAATTGCTTCCCTGCTAAAGGGGCAAAAAACCGAATATGTTTTAATCCTGGGATACACATATTGTAGTCAGCACTGTAGACTGCTGTACAAGCTCTCAGACAATGAAAAAAGCGGTCTATTGTATCATTTTATGTATGTACATGCCATTCTACTACTTATATACATGAGTGAGCAAGGGGAAAGCTCTGGTGCAGCAGTAGAGCCAGGGAGGTATGTGGGAATAGTGAGATTATTGGAATATCCCAATTTGGTAATTTTTCCGGTGGTAGCGCTATTCTTGGAAGCCTGAGAATCACCAAAGGAATCAGAAGCCGTTAAGCTTAATTGTAGGGGATTGATAGTTTACAAACAAACTTACAAAACCATACCGTTTCTAGTTAGTGAGTATTATGCTTAATTTTAACAGTATAGCCTGAGCTAGGCTCATTTGGCCTCGGAGATTTTGGAAACGTGGTCGAGGGAGTGCCTTGGTAAAGGCGTCTGCGATATTGTGGTCCGTTGGGCAGTAGAACAAAGCGAACGTGCCGTCCTTGACGTGTGCACGTATGAAATGGTATCTGATGGCGATATGCTTTGTCCGCGACTGGAATTTTCCGTTGGCTGCCAGAGCTATAGCGGCTTGGTTGTCGCAGAAGATGGACGTGGGGAGCGAGGGAGCCTCGTAGAGCTCTTGGGTAAGATATTGGAGGTAGAGTACCTCACGTGCAACACTCGTCAGAGCGATATACTCTGCTTCTGCGGTGGATAAAGCTATTAGTGGTTGCTTTCGCGCGCTCCAAGCCACTGGTCCGCCATTCAACATGACAACATAGCCGGAGATGGAGTGCCGGTGGGACTGTGAAGCCCAATCTGCGTCGACGAAGGCCTCAAGGCCTCCATCCGTGAATCCTAGGGTGAGTTCGAAGTCTGACGTTCCTTTCAGGTAACGTAGCACTCGTTTGGCGGCCTCCCAGTGGGGCTTCCCTGGATTGCGCATGAATTGGGATAACGTGGCGATGGCGAATGCGATGTCAGGCCTTGTGCTCGTGGCTGCGTACATGAGCGAGCCAATGGCACGTTGATATGGCACTTCGCTCATCGCCTGCACTTCAGCGTGAGTGGATGGGCCTTGCTCGGCGGTTAGGAAGGTACTGGAGTCCATAGGTGTGGTTGCGGCCTTAGCATCTGAAAGGTTAAAACGTTCAAGTATCGTTTCGACGTATGCCTTTTGTGAGAGTGTGATGGTGCGAGCTGAACGATCTCGCGTGACCTTAAGGCCCAGCAACCAGCTTAGTTCACCGAGGTCCGATATTTCAAAGTACTGTTGAAGTTGAGTTTTGAAGCGCTGAATGTGGGAAACGTGATTGGCGGTGACAGCCATGTCGTCGACGGAGACAGTGATGACGATGTGTTCATCCGTCGTACGTTTGAAATAGACCGCCTGGTCCACTTGTGAGCGCACAAAACCCATCTCAGTAAACACACCAGCTAATTCCTCTGCCCACTCAAAACCGGCCTGCTTAAGACCCGGCAAGCTCCTCTTCAACTTCAGCACTTTTCCGCGTTCTCCCTCACTTAGGTACCCAGGTGGCGGCCTCATGTATATGTCCTCCTGGACATCAGCATAGAGATACGCACTTTTGATATCAACTTGGTGTATCTCCCAATCCAGGTGGGCCGCCATTCCTAGTACCGTGCGAATGGTGATCATGTTGCAGGTAGGTGCGAAGGTGTCGAAATAGTCTACGCCATAGCGTTGACGTTGACCGTTGGCCACGAGGCGCGCGCGGAGTTTTAACTTCTCGCCGTTGGGCCCTCGTTTGGTGGCTAGAACGTAGTGACATGGTATGACATTAGTGTCACGTGGTAAGTGCGTC